TATTTATTTACCAGCACTTGTATCCTTGCTGCACTTCTTGTGGAATTTTGCAGGCCAAGATTCAACGTTTAAAAGAGTTTGGCTTATGGCGAGCTGATCCAAGTGGAACCTCTTGCCTTTGCCTCTCGTGCCCATCGCAAGCTACCACCACACAAAAAGGAGCCCTAGGTAGACATTAAAAGTGCTGGGATCCTTGTAGTGATATTGTACCAGAGGTGATTTGACATAGGTCAGATTTCTACTCTTGGAAAATAGCCCTTCGGTGTTATGCATCTCATTGATGTTCACAGGATGAATATTGCTAATATATAATACATCAAATTTGTGGCGAGAGTACCGGAACCAATCGTATGATTCCTAAAGAATGTGGGGCAGATAGGTTGGCTTTTCTTATCGCTGAGGCTGGTCGCCGCTGCCATCGCACGTAGCCTGCACCAATGGAATGGCTCGGACCGGGTCGCAAGTGCGATGTGACTGTTGTGTCGGCAGGCAAGCAGCCAATCAGCTCGTAAGATGCTGGCTGTGTGACGTGACCCTTGCTTCGGGCAGCCTGCAGCCAATCATTTCGCTTTACGCTATCGCCCGCTGCTGCTGACCACATATCACCATTTCAGCGTGTGCCAGATTCCTCATCCATTCACGCCATCTCCCGCCTCCTCGATTTCAGACTGTCGCCGCCAACTCGTTGGGGAGGCGAACGGAAGTGATGAAAAACAGCAGTCACGCACTCGTCGTCGCCTGTAAATGTCGCCCACAGATATGCAGGCAGGATTCCGAAAGAAAGCGTCGCAAGATGATTTGTTTGCGTTGGGTAAAGTCGCCTGGGTCGGTCGCACCTCTGTGGTGGATGCGCTGCACCTCGCTGCTTTCTCGGAATTTGTCGTCACACGTTCCAAAACTGTTCGCGCACCTGAAACCTCTTTTCAAAGCGCGTTCTCGGGCAGGCAACTTACGATTACGAGACACCACTATATTGGCAGCTTTGTCATGAAATCCCAACACTACCGCCCCTACTTTTCCACCTCCTTCTGGCAAGCCTCAATGGAAGCCTGCTTTTTGCCTGCCTAAACTCCCACCTTTGTCAGGTTCCCCCGTTCCCAACTTCTCTCAGCGCACCCCTTACAAATGACACTATCCGCAACGACACAATCGCCCTGCACATTTCCCCTTTTCCCCACCACCCTCCACTTCTCTTTCCTGGTGCTTTGTATGGCGGGCTGCCCGGTCGCGTGCCGTCAGATTTTGATGCCCCAATCACTGACAGAACAAATCCTGTTTCAAAGAATCCATGTTTCAGAACCCTGATGACCAACCAAACCATGGAACCATGTCACGACGACATGCCCTGACAATGCAGCAAAGGACGCGCCGCCGCCGCCCTTGTCTTCCCTCCTTCCAGCCAGCCCTAGTTCCCCAATCTTACCACGTCTCTCCTCTCCTCTCCTCTCGTCTCGTCTCGTCTCTTCCTACAGTATCCCACTCCACACCACACTTCCCTCCAGGACTGTCTCGGGACTAACACAACACTGGATTCAGAACACTTGAAACCAGACTGGATAAGAATTCCCAGAGCAATTTTTAGGGCAGGAGCAACAGAAACTATAACTCTTGGATTCCATCGTTCTTCCCACCCCTCCCCCCCCTCCCTCCCCTTTCAAGGCTCTCTTTTCCCGCTCTCCCAGATGCTATGCTTGAAACTGCACACGCACCCATTCATGGTCCGTTCTCCCAACCTCCGACTCTTGCCAGCCACCGCGTGGAGTCCCATCTCATCACATCCTGAAAGCTCCATCTCACAACACTCTCTGACATGTTGGTTCAAGTATCTGTATGAGGAAGGAACCCTAAAAGGGTCACGCTGCGTCGGACACTGCAAGAACACACGTTTATGAAATCCGAAATTTTATATTACGGTCATTGTTGTTGCGTTTTTTTTCTCGTAGAGATGAAGTATCCGTCGCTCGTTGGTGCTGCTACCAGCACCAGTTGCCAGAATATGCGAGTGGAAATTCCTTGACAGCACAACTGTTGAGAAAATACGCGACAGCATAATTGTTGATAAAGATCGCTATCGGTTTGGAACGAGAATCAAGACGGCCTGACCATCATAGCATTTACGCCTCTCAAACGGTCCGTGTCCGTTCTCTTCCTCGGATAACTCATTGCCGATAGCAACTGCCAGAGCGCTTTAGATTGCGAATTCATCCGATCTATTAAATCTGAACCATATCTGATTCGCCGTCGCGTGGCGATGGGTCCTCGCACGACGACCGGCGCGATGTGCGGGCTCGGCGTTCGCATGAGCCCCAAGGCAACGATTTTCAGTACGAGCGAGGCGGCGTGCGACGTGTACGATGCGGGCGACGACGCCGGCGAGTGCACGTGGGCGTCGCTGCCGCCCGAGCTGCTGCGCGACGTGATCGCACGCGTGGAGGCGAGCGACAGCTCGTGGCCCGGCCGGCGCAGCGTCGTTGCGTGCGCGGGTGTCTGCCGCTCTTGGCGGGAGCTTACTCGGTACGTACCACCTTGTAGCGACTCGCTACGTGATACCTTGTAATGCCTTGGTACCACATGCGTTGGTGTCTTAAAATTTTTCAAAATCAACGAAAGCTAGCCACGGTCGGCGGGAGCTGACACTGTACGCTTTGCTTTTATCAGAAGCGTCTCGACGATGCGGCAAGAAATCATTAGATTTCACGTAAGGCGGGCGCTCTCGAGATTAGCCGTGCGCTCTCGAGATTAGCCGTGCGCTCTCGAGATTAGCCGTGCGCTCTCGAGATTACCCGTGAACTACCACTGTACGCTTTGTTTTCTACGCACCTCCCCTCTCTGCTCTCCTCTCTCGCCCCGCTCCGTCTGTTCCCCTCGTTTCCCCGTCCCCAAACTCCCCTCCGCCCCATCCGCAACCCCCCCCCACGCGCAGGGAGCTGCGGCAATCCCAGGGGTCATACGAGCCGTCAGGGCAAATAACGAACTCCGACGAGCTGAGGAAGCCCCTGCCGGGGCCGGCACGTTCGCGCATCCACCATCCCCACTTTCTCCCATCCCCTCTCTCCCGCTTCCCCACTTCCCCCCTTCCTCCCCTTCCGCGCATCCCGCCCTTCCCCCGATCCCACCTTCCGCCCATTTCTGCCCGAGACAGCGAGCTGCTGCAATCCCAGGGCTCGTACGAGTCGTCTGGGCAAATAACCTTTCCCGACGAGTTAAGAACGCCCGGGCCGCGCGACCGCTGCGTGGAGTGCTTCATTCGCCGCTCGCGCAAGACCGGCACGTTCACGCTGTTTCTGGGCGTGCCGCCGAATTCGACGGAAAACGGCAAGTTCCTGCTCGCGGCGCGCAAGTGCGGCTGGCGGCCGTCAAGGTAAGCGGATAGCCGACTGCTTTAAAAAATCGTTTGACCCTAAACCGGAGTTGGTGTTTGTGCTTGTAGCCCTATTCTGCCCGTTTAACAAACCCTTGTTTGTGCTGGTTACGCTAATGCCTTCGTTCGCTTCAAATCGCACACCTGAGTTTGTGTCTCGCAAATTCACGTTTGCATGGAAAAAGTGTTTGTGCTGGTCACCCTATTGTGTCCGTTTCGCTCTGTTTCGCAACTTTCGAAATCATTCCAGCATGGAGTACGTGGTCTCGCTGGATCCGAAAGACTTTTCGCGCGGCGGAAGTTCGTTCGTCGGTCGCCTGCGAGCGAATTTCCTAAGCACGCGATTTGCCGTCTTTGAATCGTCGCACGAGGTGAGCGATGAAACCTGAGTTCGTTCGCATCGCACAATGTTAGGAAGGTTACAGTTCTACAACCGACTTTTGAGTCGTCTTAGAATAGACTTTTTTCACACAATATTAAGAAGGTTACACTCCTTCAACCGAGGTGTTTTAGAGTTTGAGTAGTTAGGGGTAACTTGGATGTGAAGACTTCTAGAAGAAGCTTACGGCTCTTCAACCCGCACCCGTATTTGCTACAGTATTGGAGTTCTTCTTTCGTAGTGTATATTGTCTTGACGGATTTGCCGCAGCTACCATAGCGCTCGACACCCAGGGTGTAAGAAAGCTGTCGCGAATGCCAGAGGCGAGAAAAATTGCACCCAGTAACGCAGTATTTATCTTCCAAGCCCAAAACTGTCGAAGCTCCTCTCGGCGTCCGTTAATTTGCGCCAATTTTACCGTTTCGCCTGCCCCCCCATTCCTCTCCCTCCCCTCCTCACCCTCACCCCCCCCCCCCCCCCCCCTCCGCCCTCCCGTCCCCCCCGCGCCGCATTTCCTCGTGCAGCCCGCGTTTTCTCTCGGCGCGGCGTCGCTGGCGCACGGCGGAAGCAGCAGCAGCAGCAGCCGCAAGGTGCATCCCCGCGGAGCCGCTTTTTCCGCCAACGGTTACCACCACTGTAACCACTGTAGCAATCGGTGTGGTAACCACCATTGTGGTTACAACTGTGGCAGCAGCAGCGCGGGCAGCAGCGGGACCGGCACCCCTGTCGCGTGTAACGGTAACTTGGGCAGCTTTAACGGTTCCAGCTGTAGCGGCACCAGCTGTAGCAGGGGTAGTGACGGGACAGGATTACTGGGCGCAGGTATTACCAGCAGCAGTGGCAGCGGCAGCGGCATTGGCGGTCGGGGCGATTGTAACGGCGCAAATGACGCTGACACGGCCACGTCAGCAGCGGTATCGTCAAGCCTCCGCGCACATTCCCCGTCCCTCTCAGCTTCCCCCTCCCCCGCCCCTTCCCCCTCCGCCTCCGCCCGCGCGCTAACCGCCTGCCTCTCCCGCTCCGCCAACAACCTCGAGGGCTTCCGCTCCCCGCGCCTCCCTTCCGCCTCCGCGCCCCCTTCCGCTGCGCCTTCCCCTTGCCCCGCCGTCTCCGACTTTGCCTCCCCCCAATTCAAACCCAGCTGCATCGGCAGCCCCTTCCCCGGAAGCAGCGCGCACAGCTGCGGGGGAGGCGCAGGTGGGAGAAGCAGCGGGGGGATTGGCGGGGGAAGCGGCGGGGGGAGCGGGGGAAGCGGGGGGAGTAGCGGGCCGGTGGTGTCTGTAGCATATGCGCTGAACGTGCTGGGGGTGCGCGGACCTAGGCGCATTCTCTGCACTCTTCACCAGGTCCCCGCGGGCGCGGCGGTCACTGGCGGAGGGGGAAGCGGGGCGGCAGGCGCGGGGCGAGGCGCGGGAGGGAAGGCGGGGAGAGGAACGGGGGAGGAAGCGGGGGGGGGGAAGGGGGGAGGGGAGGTCGTTGGCAAGGGGGGCAAGTGGGGGGAGTGGGCGGGGATGGGGGGACGCTTCCGCGGTAGCGGAGGCAGCGGGGGAGGCAGCGGCGGAGGGGGCCAGGCGGGCAGCTGCTGCGGCAGCTGATGTTGCTGGCACCGCCGCCGCTGCTTTAGGCTTAGATCCCGTTATAGGCACGTCCGATATAGGCACGTTACGAAGCCCGCGTCCTGCCACCCTTCCTCCCGTTACAACCTCTGATAGAAGCTCCGTTTCAACTCCTCCCGTTACAGTTCCCCCTAGCACCCCTCCCCCTGCTACCCCTTCCCCCGCAACTGCTGCCGTCCTAGCCGCTGGTGCTGCCGCTGCTGCCGCCACCTCCCCGCTCCTCTCCTCCCTCTTCCATTCCAACCGCTATAGTCACACTCGCTACAGTAACCACTCGTGCGATCTCCCAGAGGAACAAAAATCGGATGAGCAAGCACCTGGCCAATCCCAGCCTCCCACGTGTACCTCCTCTTTCACCCCTTCCCCGCTTCCCCGCCCCTCCTGGCCCTCATCCCCCGCTTCTTCCCCCTCCGCCGCCCACCCTGCTGGCGCAACCTCCGCCCCGCCCCACTTCCCCGCCCCTTCCGCCCTCCACTCCCCCGCTTCCCCCCCTGACGTGCTAATTGCCCCCACAGGCTCCTCCGCTTCTCCCTCCCCTTCCGCTTCCGCCTCAGCCGCTCCCCCCTGCCCCGCTTCCGCCTTCCCCCCTTGCTCGAAGCTTCCCTCTTCCGCGCTGTCTTCCGCCTCTCCCGCCGCCCGTTCTTGCGCATACAGGCTCAGTGGGGGGAAGGGGGAGGCGGGGGGGATTGTGAGTGAGTTTGAGTGGGGAGGGGGGGAGAGAGAGGAGGTGACTGTAGAAGAAGTGACTGAAGGGAGAGTGGGAGGGCGGGAGGAAGAGGGGAAGGGAGAGAGAGGGGAGGGGAAGAGAGTGGAGAGAGGGGAGGTAGAGAGGGAGGAGGGGACGGGAGAGGAGAGGAGGAAGAACGAGACCGAGGAGAGGCAAGAGAAGGAGGAGAGGGAGGAGGAGGAGAGATTGCTGGTGAGGCTCACTGGGAGTGGAGAAGAGGAGGGGGAGGGCGAGAAGCAAGAATGCACAGCAGCGGAGGAAGCAAGGGAAGCGAGGGAAGCAAGGTCACCACCCACAATCTGCACAAGAGAGCCCTTGGTCTCGTTCCCAGAGAGTGGGGAAGAGATGGGTGCGGGAGAGAGAATGGGGAGCAGTGGTAAGGAGGAGAGCAATGAGCAGCAGAGCATGCGAGAGGAGGGTGTGGAAGCAGGGGGGCAGTGGGAGAAGAAGAGTCAAGAGGAGAGCAGTCCGGAGGATGGGAGTTTAGAGGAGGGGAATCAGCAGGAGGAGTGTGGGGATTGGCCGACAGACGGCGCGTGTGAGCAGCAGGAGAGCAGTGGAGAGGGAAGGAGTGAGCAGGAGGGCAATCAGGGTTGGTTGCAAGGCAGAGGTTTCCAGGTGGCTTTTGAGTCAACTCAAATCACGCAAGGCGGAGGTTTCCAGGAAAGCAGCGGCAGCGAAGGCCTTCATATCTCCCCCTTCCCCGCCTCCGCGGACCCCTTCCTTCCCCCTGCTGCCCTTGAGCTTCCCCCTGCCGCCCTGCCCTTGCCCCTGCCCCTGCCCCTGCCCCTGCCCCTGCCCCTGCCCCTGCCCCTGCCCTTGCCCACATTGGAACTAGAAGCGGCACTAACAGCAGCAGCAGCAGCAGCAGCATCAGCAGCAACAGCAAGCGGAACGGCATGGTCAGAAGCAGCAGCAGCAAGAGCTGTGGCTTCACCAGAAGCAGCAGCAGCAAGAGCTGTGGCTTCACCAGAAGCAGCAGCAGCAGGTGCCAGAGCTGCGGCGGCTGTCACTCCCCCGTTCGCCTCCTCCTCTCTCCCCTCGGGTCCCTTGACTCCCCCATTCACCCCTTCCTCTCTCCCTGCTGCAGCTGCGACTCCCCCATTTGCTGCTTCGTCTGCCCCGTCTCCTGCCGCCCTTCCTGCTGCTCCTTCTGCTTCTGCTGCTCCTTCCCCTGCTGCTGCGCCTCCTGCTTTCAATGCAGAGGCAGATGCGGAGGGTGACACTGAGGGTGACTGTACGGAGTGTGACTGTGTGCGGTGCATCGGCCGAGCGCCTCTAGAGCCCATGGTGTTGCGGAACAAGCCACCCAGATGGCACGAGCAGCTGCAGGTATGTGTGTTTATTGGGGAATGAGGAGCGGTGCACAGCAGTACAGGGGAGTATTAAGCGGTGTTCGTATGGAAATAGATGAAGCCGAGCGCCCTTAGAGCCCATGGTGTTGCGGAACAAGCCTCCCAGATGGCACGAGCAGCTGCAGGTATGTGTGTGGGTGCTGGGGGGTGGGAAGCGGTGCACGGGAGTACAGGGTAGTTCAAGGGAGTATGAGGCCGAGCGCCTCTGGAGCCCATGGCGTTGCGGAACAAGTCTCGCAGATGGCACGAGCAGCTGCAGGTGAGGGGATACAAGGGGATATGGAGGAGTGCAAAGGAGTATAAGGGAGTATATGGGAGTATAGGGCAATATAAAGCTTTTTATCATGGGCCGAGCGCCCCTAGAGACTGTGGTATCGAGGAACAAGCCTCCCCGGTGGCACGCGCAGCTGCAGGTGTGTGTGTATTGAGGAAGGCAATTACAGATTAGAAAGCGAAATCTATCATGAAACATTGGGCCGAGCGCTCCCTCCCCTCCCCTCGCCTCCCCTCCTCGCCTTCCAGTGCTGGTGCCTCAACTTCAGAGGGCGAGTAACGGTTGCTTCGGTGAACAAATTCCAGCTGATAGAGGAGGGCGGGCCGGGGAGCATCTCAAATAAGGCCCTTCCAATCCTCCCTTGCATCCCCTTTTCCTGTCCATCCCATACACGCTTCCAGTGCTGGTGCCTCAACTTCAGGGGGCGAGTGACAGGGGGTGCTTCTGTGAAGAATTTCCAGCTGATAGAGGGGGGGGGGGGGCGGGGAACGACTCGGACAAGCCCCCTTCTCATCCCGCCCTTGCCTCCCCTTGCCTGCCCTCCCCCTCCCACACTGCCAGTGCTGGTGCTTGAACTTCAGGGGGCGAGTGACAGTGGCTTCAGTGAAGAACTTCCAGCTGATCGAGGGGGGCGGGCCGGGGAACGACTCTGACAAGCCGGTGCTGCTCCCCCCTTTCCCACCCCCTACCCGCCTCCCCTTTCCCGTACTCCCTTGCAGTGTTGGTGCCTCAACTTCCGTGGCCGCGTGACAGTAGCATCAGTGAAGAATTTTCAGCTGATAGAGGGGGGCGGGCCGGGGAACGACTCGGACAAGCCGGTGCTGCTGCAGTTCGGGAAGATTGACAAGGACGCTTTTACTATGGACTACAGATATCCACTCACAGGCCTTCCAGGTGTGTTATTCTAGCACAAGTGCTGGTGTGTATGGTGCGGTGCCCTGAAGGTGTTGCTGCAGTTTGGGAAGATTGGCAAGGACACGTTCACCATGGACTACAGATACCCGCTTACTGCCTTCCAGGTGGGTGCTTCTTCTTTGAATGCTAGTGTGTATGGTTCGGAGCCCTGCCGGTGCTGCTGCTGCAGTTTGGCAAGATCGGAAAGGACACCTTTACCATGGACTACAGATACCCGCTTACGGCCTTCCAGGTGCGTAGTGCATGTGCCAAGTGCGTGCTGCTCTGTGTGGCTGAGGGTAGCTCATAGAGAGGAGCGGACCGGGGAACGACTCTGATAAGCCAGTGCTGCTGCAGTGTGGGAAGATTGGCAAGGACACTTTCACCATGGATAACAGATACCCGCTTACTGACTCCAGGTGGGTAGTGAAGTGCTGTTTCATGTGGTTAAAAAGTCGGTGCTCTGCCAGTGCTGCTGCTGCAGTTTGGCAAGATCGGCAATGACACATTCGCCATGGACTACAGGATACCCGCTCACGGCCTTCCAGGTGGGTAGTGCTGCGTGTTCAGGGTGAGTTTCCTTTCAGGTATTGATACGCATGCAAGCCGGTGTTGCTGCAGTTGGGAAGAGTGGCAAGGACACATTCACCATGGACTACAGATATCCACTCACGGCCTTCCAGGTAAGTGTGGACGGCCAGGTGTTTCCTCAGGTTTGTCTTTGGGTATCGTGTCAATACGCTTTCCCCATCTCCCGTCTCCCCGTGTTCTCTTCCCCTTGCCTTCTGGGCTGTTTTCTTTGTGCGTGCCCACATGTCACATGTCACATGTGCTTTCCTTGCTTCATATCACATGTCTGACAGGATTGTTTTCTGCTTTGTATGTGTTCCCACGTCATGTGTGTTTTCCCTACATTATGCGTGCAGGCGTTTGCCATTTGCCTGAGCAGTTTCGATACCAAAGTGGCGTGCGAGTGATTCCATCATCACTTCCATCATCAGTTGAAAGCTTTTCAAGCTGTTGTTTTGTCGAGTCCAAAATCCACGTGCGAGCGAAATAGTGACACCGACGGCTTTTCGCGTTGCGTTCTAGATATGGTGTGGTGTGGTGTGGTACTGATGATGCGTGAAGAGGATTCCTCACTCAGGAACAACCAAGGGCAACAAATGAAAAAAAGACAGCGTGATGATATCTGGGAGACTGGAAAAGGGCATGTGCGTTGTGCTGATACAGCGGGTGGTGGTGGTGGTGTATTTTTTCTGCTTTGTGGTGCAATGCTGCGGATGAAAAGGTACTGGTAAGTTTCCTCTGGAGGAACGGGATTGTCTTTTGTGTACCTCGGATATGGGTTGGTTATTAAGGTTTGGACAATTGTGTTTAGGGACGGATGGTGATGACTGATTCAGGGATGTAGTCATGCTGGTGCCCTTGTTTGTTATTCCTGTACTCTTTGTATTGTAACGAAATTGTGGCTTATGTTTGTATCAGAGTAGAAGTTCACGGTACCTCCTGTAGCTGAAGTGCATCTGCCCGTATCGGGTACAACCGGTTACCAGATTCCTCCTAAAGCTTGGACAATTGTCGGTTCAGCTGGTTCTACAACGGTCAATTTGATACCTAGGCTGGTTGGTTAGGGTATATCGGGACGCTGATTCAAATCTGACCGACTAATAAATGGGACGAGCAGTCGTGTGTGTTGGAGTGGTTCGCAGAACCACACTAACGACGGCGCTCATTATTCGGACCGACGACTAAGACGGACTGACGGTGGCGTGTTGACAGTGCCTTGGGAACTAGAGAGGAAACTACGACATTGCTTGGGAGTATGAGCTACGGCAAGAGAAGTATGGAAGGAAGACATTGACGAGGAGGAAGTGAGGAGAAAGTGATCGACGGGGGGAAATTGTGTGGGTCAACTGTGGCGTGTTCAGCAAGGAACCAAATGCGGACTTCAGGCGCGTTCGACGAAGGTGGAGAAAGGTTGCGTGTGCGACGCGGGGTGAAACGAGGCGCCACGTAACGTGTTGGACACGTTTTGTTACCTAGCCCATTTTGTACCTTGCTTGAACCTATATATTTGTTGTACCAGGTTGTTGAAGTAACACTTTGAAATTCTATCGCTTCAAACATTGTGTTCAATCCTGATTGGTCGAAACTTTGAGCATTTGATGAGACTCCCGTCAGATTCGCGTCAAACCTACGGAGAAGCCTTTGTGAAGGCTTAGACAAGCATTAGTGACGGAAATTTCAGCCGCGAGACTCCCGTCAAAGCCCTGCGAAGGGCCGAACCTGTTTCACTCGAGTGTAGGGCCCGCGAAAGCCCCGTGAAGGATCAGTGAAGACCACGCGAAGCAGAAATCGCCTCAGGATCGCGTCAGGGTTGAGTAAAGGCCTCGTCGAGGCCCCGTTAAGGCCGCGTAAGCCTCCCGTGAGGCGTTTCGCGACCAACACTGTGCTTCTACTTCGTTGCTGTGACATAGCCATTTCTACGAGCTTCACTAGAATCCAGTTTTCTACGAGCTTCGCTAGAATCCAGTTTTCCTCCGCTCGATCTGATTGGTCGACGGGTTCTCGTGGCGGATAGCCCTGGAGCTGACGTGGCAGGGGGTGGAGCTGTCGTGGCAGGGTCTGAGGGAGCCAAACCAGGGCAGGAAGGTTCTGAGAAGCAGACAAAGGCTGCAAGTGGGGGGGCGAGTGGGAGGCGAGGGGGAGGTAGAACTGGTGTAGGCAGTATCTTCCTGATGGGGGGCCAAGGAGACAAGGAGCAAGGAGAGAGGGGCCAGATCCCAACAATGAAGCGGGAAGTGGTTTCAGGGATAAAAGTGCTTATAAAGGGGGAAGGTGGGGGTGGGGGAGGTTCGGCAGCGGGTGGTTCGGGCCGAACCCGGCTCATGCCAAGCCCGAACCTCCCAATTGCAGCTCCCGTGTTTGTTAAACCAAGCAGTGCTAACAGTAGTACCAATTGTCAGAACATTGTAGCTTATGCTGTTGTATAGGCTATAGTGGGGTATCCCATAGGGGGTACAACCAATTAGGGTTTCATATTTGTACTCACATCATTTCATAGTTCACCCATTCTCGTTCTCATTCTCACATGGAATCAGAGCAGGTCCCCTCCTAGGGACTGTTCCTTGGGCCCACCGAAGCGCGCCTCGAGTCGCGCCTGCCTGTTTTTTTTTAGCGGCCCGTCGAGTCGCACCTAGCGGCCCGTCGCGCCGCCCTTACGGTCGCGTCGAGCCGCCCTAGCGGCTGCGGCGTGCCGCCCTTTTCCCGGCCCGTCGCCGCCCTTACCCGCGGCTTTGCGCCGCCCTCACCGGCGGCTTCGCGCCGCCCCTTCCTGCGGCTTCGCGCCGCCCAGGCCCGTCGCCGCCCTTCCCGCGGCTTCGCGCCGCCTCTACCTGCGGCTTCGAGCCGCCCCGGCCCGTCGCCGCCCTTACCTGCGGCTTCGCGCCGCCTACGGCCCGTCGCCGCCCTTTTCTGCGGCCCCGCCGCCTCTCTCGTTGCGGCCCCGCCGCTCGTCTTCGCGGCTCCGCCGCCATCTCTCGCTGCGGCCCCGCCGCCACTCACTGCGGCCCCGCCACCCGTCTCAGCGGCCCCGCCGCCCGTCTTCGCGGCCCCGCCGCCTCTCTCGCTGCGGCCCCGCCGCCTCTCACTGCGGCCCCGCCGCCCTACTCAGCGGCCCCGCCGCCCGACTTCGCGGCCCCGCCGCTTCTCTCGCTGCGGCCCCGCCGCCTCTCTCGTTGCGGCCCCGCCGCCCTTCACTGCGGCCCCACCGCTTCTCTGCAGCGGCCCCGCCGCCCGTCCTCGCGGCCCCGCCGCCTCACTACCCAGCGGCCCCGCCGTCCTTCTGGAGCGGCCCCGCCACTCCTCTACAGCGGCCCCGCCGCCCTACGTCAGCGGCCCAGCCGAGCCGCCCAACAGCAGCGCAGCCGAGCCGCCCAGCAGCAGAGCAGCCGAGCCGCCCCGCCGCCGAGCCGCGCTGCAGCCGTGCAGCCGACCGCCCAGCCGCCGAGCCGCCCAGCCGCCGAGCCGCCCAGCGGCCGAGCCGCCCTGCAGCCGCGCCGCCCGAGCAGCCCTGTCCGGTGAGCACAGACCCTCTGTCACTGCGTGCTCTTCCCCTACTCCTTGCACTGCTGGTCTACTGCTGTCATGGCTACCCCTAGTGTCCTCACTTTTGACGCTGAGGGTCGGGCCATTGACTTTGAGGTCTGGGTAGATGACCTACAGCTGTTCTTACAGTGCGATAGGGCGGACGGCCTCTCTCTCTTTGACCTCACCTCTGGCGCTTCCCCTGCCCCTGCTGCTGATGCTGACGCCACTGTTCGCTCCCAGTGGGCCACGCGCGATGCTGCTGCACGTCTTGCTGTGCGTCGCCACCTCCCTACCTCCGAGCGTGCGCACTTTAGTCAGTACAAGAGTGCTCAGACCTTGTACGCCGCTGTAGTCGCGCGCTACTCCTCCCCTTCCACTGCTGCACTGAGCCGTCTCATGCTGCCGTACCTCTTCCCTGACCTTGCTTCTTTTCCCACCGTTGCTGACCTCATTACGCACCTCCGCACTAGTGACACTCGCTACCGCGCTGCACTTCCTGCTGACTTCTGCACCGCGAACCCCCCCCCCATGTACATCACTCTGTACTTCCTAGTCACTCGCCTCCCTGACTCCCTTCGAGTAGTCAGGGACCACTTTCTCTCAGTCTGTCCCACCACACTCACTGTAGACCTCCTCGAGAACGCCCTCCTCGCGATAGAAAAGAGCATAGTCGCTGTAGGAGCCTCTCGAGGTGACCCGCGCACCCCCATCTTTGAGGGGTGTTCTCCCTCCCCCCTGCTGCCCTCTGTTGCCTCTGCTGCTTCGGCCGACCTCCTTGTTCTTGAGTCGGTCGGTGCGGCGTCTGCCCCTAGCGGGAGACGCCGCCCTGGCAAGGGCAAGGGGGGCAAGGGAGCTGGAGGAGCGGGCGGTGGAGGTGGAGGTGGAGGCAGTGGGGGGAGTGGGGGTAGCGGTGGAGGTGGAGGTGGGGGTGGGGGGTTCGGTGGCGGCAGTGGAGGCGGAGGCCGCGGCGGCGGTGGCGGTGGTAGCGGAGGTGGCGGAGGAGGCGGCGGTGGAGGAGGCGGTGGAGGCGGCGGCGGCAGTGGAGGCAGCGGAGGCGGTGGAGGCGGTGGGGGTGGCGGTGGAGCTGGTCGCGGGTCTTTGCAGAGGAGTGGCTCCGGTGGTGGCTCGCGCCAGCAGCAGCAGCGTGGTCGTGCGACCCTGTCCCCTCAGCAGCTCCGTGAGTGGTACACTGCACGCCAGCGGGGTGGGGGTTTTGGTCCGTGTACCTACGTCCTGCGCACCGGCGACCGTGCGGGTGAGCAGTGTGGGGGTGCGCACCCCACTCCGCGCTGCTTTGGCCGCCTGACGGACGCATGGCGTCACCAGTTCCCGGAGGCCTCCGAGATCCCTCGCTGGGACGAGCTGTCTAGGGCGGGGGTTGCCATCTTTGATCTGGACTTTGATGCTATTCTCTCTGCCATGTATGCTGTGTCTATTAGTGATGAGGGTGACTGTTACCGGTGT